TCCTGTCTTCAGTGTCACATGACCCTTCACAAATCACTCTAATATGAGGATCTGATGATCAACACACAGTTATGATTACTGAGATTACTTTTTTATGAAAACTATATAGACATGTTTTTAAAAAAAAGGTATGCAGGCACACACGGACCTCAAGAATTAACATATGAATCTCAGCAATGGTGACAAATAGATCACCTCTGAACATAAGCTCATTTTCTATTCATGCAGCAATGCATGATGGGAGCCATAAATGAGTTTCATACAATTGTTTTTAGAAGTTTTTCTCATTTGTATTTCATTGAAAAGGCTAAAAATGGTATGCTCTACAATGATAGTGCTGCTTAAATCCATAAGGTAAACGTAACTATATGAGTTCGGGTCAAATGATTGTGAAATAAGGATTATATTAAAACATAACCAACACCATCAGATCACCTTTTCAATTTGTTCATATGGCTGTTATAACTCATGTACAGCAGCTTGAGATGCACCGATTACAATTTTCTAGGCCGATTCGGGTTTCCGATTTTTATTGAGCTTGACCTGCCGATTCCGATTTTATTTTTCTAACCACTTTTTTATTTTCAATAACACAAATATTTATTTTCTATATATTTTTTTAATAAAACACCATATCCTTACACATGTGTGATACTGATGTTGCGCGACGTTAATCATGCAACGCCCGAGTGCATTTGACCGGCATAAAATCGACATATATCAGATATGTCAATCGGTCAATCGCCGGTCAATCGGTTCATCTCTAACAGCAGCCAAACAAAATCTAAAGTTAATGATGTGAGGGTCAAGAGCCCAACTAAAGCAAACACTGGTCACCATAATGATGACTTACAACTACGGTTTCTCCTTCAGTGATTTTGCTTGTTAACATGTTTACACAGGTGTCTTCCATAATGCTCAATCATCACTCAATTATCCACTTAATTATCTCATTTACTTTAACACTGCTTCAGTGTTCATTTAACACGCTGCTCACAGTTTAATTGGGTCACTTAAATGAATAAATTCCATGATGTTGAAGTTACATGAACAAATTATGTTTGTTTAATGTAACCCAGTATTGACATAAAAAGTTAATTAAAGCCAACATATCAGAACCTGTTGACATAAAAGTTAATTAAAGCCAACCTATCATTTTTTCAGTGTGTTGAAGTTACATGAACAAATTATGTTTGTTTAAAAAAGTTAACTTATGGAACCCTTTTACAAAAAGTTAATTAAAAAGCCAACATATCATTTTTTGTGTAGCCTATATATGAGATGGAGAGTCATATTTATGACATGAAAAGTCATATAAGTCAAAATAAGGACATAAAAGTAGATAAATGTGACTATATATGTAGATTTATGAGAGAAACTATACTGTACACTTCTGGTATGATCGGTGGGGATGTGAGCTTCTCCAAGGGTTTAAGAAATCATAGTCATGTGTGTGTGTGTGTGTGTGTGTGTGTGTGTGTGGAGAACTGCATGAGCAACATTACTTTAGGAGAGATGGAAAAAGTGTTTGTTTCTTACTTTTAATCTCAGTAATGCAGAGTCTAGAGCACACACACACACACACACACACACACACACACACACACACACACACACACACAGCTTTAGTTCAGTTGTCAAGGACATCAAAAGTCAACATATGTTCTAAGTTCTAACATATGAAGTCAAATATTATGACTTAAAAAGTAAAATTATGATCTGTTATGTGTAAAATCTGACTTAAAAAGCATTAAAGTAAAATTAAGAAAAAGTTAAAATGACATAAAGTAAAATTATGACATATATAAGACATATATAAGTTAAAATGACAAAATTCAAAACTATGACGTAAAAAAGTAAAATGATGATATGCTAAGTGGAAAAGCCTCAATTATGACATACTACATCATATTTATGACATGAAAAGTCATAAAATTCTAATATAAAAATCTACATTATGATATATAAAGTGGAAAATCTGACTTTAAAAGTCTCAATTATGACATAAAAAGTTAAAATGACATAAAAAGTAAAATTATGAAAAATAGTGAAAAATGTGACTTAAAAAATCTAAATTATGACATACTACATCATATTTATGAAATGAAAAGTAATAATTCTAACAGTCTAATTATGATACACTAAGTGGATCTCATTATCTCGTGTGAGTGACAGGTTAAAGCCCCGCCCACATCGTCAGGGAACAGAAGAGATGTCGCTGTTATTCTGATTCAAGATTATTATTAACATGAACATATAACACTGCAATATTCCATGATTTCATGATGAGTTCCTGCTCTTCTTTTCGAGTCTCTAGACCCGAAACATGAGCTGATCCCCTGATCCCTGATTCCTCCGAGTCGCGCTTTAACCATTGACTGTAAAAAATGAGCTTTAACGGAGTGTGATGAGGAATGGGTTTTGCAAATGGATTTTATGATATGGTCACTGAGGCTGTAAATACACATGAATTATTGTTTTTGAGAGTTTGACTTTCATCAGTTCAATATAAATGTGTGTGTGACTCTACTGCCCTCGTGTGTCTGAACTTCAGGCTCACTCAAGCCAAATCTATCAGAAAAAAGCAATTAAGTCTATCAGTAAATAAATAAATAAATATATTTACTTCTTTATGTTTTTATCTGCTATTCTTAAAGACTTTAAACAGTTTTTGCTTCAACTGGTATATTATTTTTGTATTCAATGAAGGAATTTCCGTTCTTATGAAACTTGATTGAACCATTTGAACTAAACCAGAAAGTATAAAGTCATGATTTTTATTTATTTTTTGTAAATCACAGTTTTAAATTTTAAATTTAAGGGTTGTTCTGTACATTTGTTTTACTGTAGGCTATTTAAAAAAAAAATATTTGCCAGTTTTCAGCAGTTAACACAAATATAATTCATCATTGCTTCATCTGTCACAACAAATATTAATATTTTAATCCATATTTTCCCTAATATGCAAGTCTCTTGCTGAAATAGTTATTAATTAATCAACAATAGTCCGGCTGAAATCACTGTTCGTCAATCTGTTCGTCACTACGTCAAACTCTTAAGATGAAAAGTAATACTTCTAACATAAAAATACTAAATTATTATATTCGAAGTGTAAATTCTGACATGAAAAAATCGAAAAACATAATTTAGAGCTTTTATCTCATTATTCTGACCTATGTCATAAATAGGAATTACCAGAACATAATAAATGTAATATGTGTAAAAACTACAGATTATACTTCCGCATTTCCCCGCCACGGACAGCATCGACAGAGGGTTATTAATAAAACAGTTATTGTGAGAGTAGGTTTATCACTTTTGATTGTATTGTAGTTACTAGCATTAAGGTAACGTTAAAACTATAGAACACAAAGGCAATTCTTACCTGCGATAAATTGACGAAAACAGACGTTTCTTTCCGGTTTTTCGGGAAATGTTTGTCAAATGTTCTTTGCCCTGCAACACAGTAGGTCCAGTTTGAAAAGTTGACAACGATTCGTCTCGGTTTTCTCTCAGTATTTGCGGTTCTGGCTTCGCGAAGCTTCGAAACCTTTGCGAAGCGTTTGTTTCGAACCAGTTTCGGATCTACGTGCGCATGCGCGTTGCATCTGCCGAAGTCACGTGGGTTAAATAAACGCGGCTTCCTTACACAACTATTTCAAAATGATTTGCATCTGGAGGTAAAACCATGAACCCGTAGTCTCTTATAGATTGCAGTCCAGAAGTAAAAACTCCATTAATTTTCCCCATAGAGAAATTGATTTATAATGATACTTTGGGCCTTAAAAACCTTTAAAAACAGCCCTACTGTGAGCTACGAGGTTGTTCATGGATAGTTGTCAGCCCACATTATTTCAACTTAGTTTTAAAATAATCATGTTTAACAGAGGAATTCATGGTGAAAAACCAAAATGATGCTGTACAGAAAATACCACCAATCAGAGTCAAAACAGGCAAGATCTCTTTAGCCCCGCCCACTCCCATGAAGCACTGCGATCACTCTCAAAATATTTCAATATTTCAATACATGAGCATATTTTGATAAAAATACATTGTTTATATATATATATATATATATATATTTTTAAATGCATAGTTTTATATTCCTCCATTGTTTTTAATTGGATTCTGCTTCTTGCAATGCTCCATGGGATTGTAGTTCTTTCCTTCACTGAAGCCGTTAAGTTCACAGTTTTGCTTTTTGAGATCCCTATTGGAAAAATTAATGGAAAAATATACTACTTGAAAAAACGTTGCTGAAAAAGTGAGCGGGCACTAATGTAAGCCCTAAAACAAACAAAACTCCGAATTAATAAAATAACACATACAGACACTTTAGATTTAATGATATGTGATGATTTGTTAATTGTAGGCTATTTAATATATTACACCCGGCCGGTAACAATACAAGTCAACATTATGACTAAACGTTTGCAAAGAGGTATTTCCTACTCAAGCAAGGCGGTGTTTGACTCTGGTCAACCGTATCCAATGGGAGCAGAGTGGGAGTGGCCTTGGACGGTAGCATGCCCAGTGCATTGTGGGTGTTGAAGTTTTCTTACGTATTTGGCAAAAGAGAAGACAGACAACAGCCCCTTTACTCTGCATTACTGTTTGTGTCTATGTGGTGTTTTTAATACGCTTTAAAACAAACCAAGGAAAGATCCTTAATAAATGAAATAATGTGATGTGATGTGATTTGGGGGGAAATTAATTATGCGACAATGTTTAGAACATTCCCAGCTTAAATTGTAATCACAAGCTCTTTTTATGAGCTGAAACCTCATAATGGACCATTTTCACAGACCGTTATAACGCGTACCCACAGTTATCAACTTCGCAAATCTTGTAAATTTTTCATATTTAATTGTATTACTTTTTTTTTATTATTATTTAAAGGGTCCATTATGGTATCTAACTACGACACAGCGTGAACTCAGCATGCCGCGGTTCCTTTAAGACGCTCTTCGCCGTGATTGGCTGTTACAAGCACGTGGTGAGTGTGTGTGTGTCGCATTGATCATGATGGCGGCTGATCTAGTGCGAGCGTGGACCGACGAGCAGCTCAAGACTGAAGAAGTGCCGAAGAAAGAGCTCATCAAATTCATCCAGGATAACGGAGCACACTCGGTAGTGTACACACTACAGCTGCGCGCTCCCGCGTACCACACAACACGCAACACTGACACTGCGTGCAGAGAGTGTGTGGCAGAGGAGTCATGTGTCAAAACAATCCAGATCAAATGCATGTTCTATGTAGAGAAAGAGAGAGAGAGAGAGAGAGAGAGAGAGAGAGAGAGAGAGAGAGAGAGAGAGAGAGAGAGAGAGAGGAGGGGGGGGGGGGGTTCCCACATATTTTTACTTTAATATGTGCATGCGTCATTATTTCAAGCTGTATAAAAAGTCATTTATAGAGATTCATTTGCATAGCAATGAAAATTAAATGTGCATAATAAAGCTGAATTGTATGCATTATATGGTATTGTGATACATGATGTGTGTATATGTCAATATATATAATATTTATGTGTGTGTAAATGGATCATGTTGTCATTTGCAGTTTCTAGCCGAACACAAACTTCTTGGAAACATCAAGAATGTGGCAAAGACGGCCAAAAAAGAGCAACTTATCGAAGCGTATAACCAACTGTTTGAGAGCAAGGTAACAAACACACGAACATCTCATATTCAACATTATGACAGCCAATAATAACTGGCTATTTATAAACGCTTAACTATCGCCCATAAGATAAAAAGATATTAACCTGAAACGCCAGTAGGTGGCGGCAAATCACTGAGTCATTGAATCATTCACTCAAACGATTCGTTCCAAACGGCTGATTCATTCAGGGACAAAGCAGAAGTGTGTGAGCTGATGTGTGTTTCTCTCAGAGGTTTAAAGGCACAGAAGTGGAACTGGTGACGGAAGAGGTTCAAGCTGTTAAAATCCACGACAATCCCAAAGATATCAAGACAGAGACGGTGGATGAGGTACTATCTTCGTCATCATCATCATCACACACGAGTGTTGAATCTTCGTTGTTGTTTACATGCACAACTTTAGTTTCGGACTGAACTGCCGATTGATGATGTTTCTCCTCAGGGTCCTCCGAAGTTCACCAAGTCCATCCTGAAGAAAGGAGACAAGACCAACTTCCCGAGGAAGGGCGACACCGTGAGCTGCTGGTACAGCGGGACGCTGGAGGACGGGACCGTCTTCGACACCAACATCCCCGCCTGTGAGGATGCTAACACTGCTGTTTTAATTAGTTTTTAGTTTTTATGTTTTCATTTTTATTTATTTTTTTGTCTTAGTGCGATTAGTACATCATCTTTAGTTTGATTCTCTTCTGTTTTTCCAGCTGCAAAGAAGAAGAAACAGTCCAAACCGCTGAGCTTCAAGGTCGGACTGGGCCGAGTGATCCGAGGGGTGAGTCGAGATTCATTAGTGATCCGAGGGGTGAGTCGAGATTCATTAGTGATCCGAGGGGCGAGTCGCGATTCATTAGTGATCCGAGGGGCGAGTCGCGATTCATTAGTGATCCGAGGGGCGAGTCACGATTCATTAGTGATCCGAGGGGTGAGTCGAGATTCATTAGTGATCCCCCCGATTCATTAGTGATCCGAGGGGCGAGTCGCGATTCATTAGTGATCCGAGGGGCGAGTCACGATTCATTAGTGATCCGAGGGGTGAGTCACGATTCATTAGTGATCCGAGGGTGAGTCCCGATTCATTAGTGACCCGAGGGGCGAGTCGCGATTCATTAGTGATCCGAGGGGCGAGTCGCGATTCATTAGTGATCCGAGGGGCGAGTCACGATTCATTAGTGATCCGAGGGGCGAGTCACGATTCATTAGTGATCCCCCCCGATTCATTAGTGATCTGAGGGGCGAGTCACGATTCATTAGTGATCCCCCCTGATTCATTAGTGATCCGAGGGGCGAGTCGCGATTCATTAGTGATCCGAGGGGCGAGTCGCGATTCATTAGTGATCCGAGGGGCGAGTCGCGATTCATTAGTGATCCGAGGGGCGAGTCACGATTCATTAGTGATCCCCCCCGATTCATTAGTGATCTGAGGGGCGAGTCGCGATTCATTAGTGATCCGAGGGGTGAGTCCCGATTCATTAGTGATCCGAGGGGCGAGTCGCGATTCATGAGTGATCTGAGGGGCGAGTCACGATTCATTAGTGATCCGAGGGGCGAGTCACGATTCATTAGTGATCTGAGGGGCGAGTCACGATTCATTAGTGATCCCCCCGATTCATTAGTGATCTGAGGGGCGAGTCACGATTCATTAGTGATCCCCCCCGATTCATTAGTGATCCGAGGGGCGAGTCGCGATTCATAAGTGATCCGAGGGGCGAGTCGCGATTCATTAGTGATCCCCCCGATTCATTAGTGATCTGAGGGGCGAGTCACGATTCATTAGTGATCCCCCTGATTCATTAGTGATCCGAGGGGCGAGTCGCGATTCATTAGTGATCCGAGGGGCGAGTCGCGATTCATTAGTGATCCGAGGGGCGAGTCGCGATTCATTAGTGATCCGAGGGGCGAGTCACGATTCATTAGTGATCCCCCCCGATTCATTAGTGATCTGAGGGGCGAGTCGCGATTCATTAGTGATCCGAGGGGTGAGTCCCGATTCATTAGTGATCCGAGGGGCGAGTCGCGATTCATGAGTGATCTGAGGGGCGAGTCACGATTCATTAGTGATCCGAGGGGCGAGTCACGATTCATTAGTGATCTGAGGGGCGAGTCACGATTCATTAGTGATCCCCCCCGATTCATTAGTGATCTGAGGGGCGAGTCACGATTCATTAGTGATCCCCCCTGATTCATTAGTGATCCGAGGGGCGAGTCGCGATTCATTAGTGATCCGAGGGGCGAGTCGCGATTCATTAGTGATCCGAGGGGCGAGTCGCGATTCATTAGTGATCCGAGGGGCGAGTCACGATTCATTAGTGATCCCCCCGATTCATTAGTGATCTGAGGGGCGAGTCACGATTCATTAGTGATCCCCCCGATTCATTAGTGATCTGAGGGGCGAGTCGCGATTCATTAGTGATCCCCCCCGATTCATTAGTGATCTGAGGGGTGAGTCCCGATTCATTAGTGATCCGAGGGGCGAGTCGCGATTCATGAGTGATCTGAGGGGCGAGTCACGATTCATTAGTGATCCGAGGGGCGAGTCACGATTCATTAGTGATCTGAGGGGCGAGTCGCGATTCATTAGTGATCCCCCCCGATTCATTAGTGATCCAAGGGGCGAGTCGCGATTCATTAGTGATCCCCCCGATTCATTAGTGATCTGAGGGGCGAGTCGCGATTCATTAGTGATCCGAGGGGCGAGTCACGATTCATTAGTGATCTGAGGGGCGAGTCGCGATTCATGAGTGATCCGAGGGGCGAGTCGCGATTCATTAGTGATCGGAGGGGCGAGTCGTGATTCATTAGTGATCCGAGGGACGAGTCTCAATTCATTAGTGATCCGAGGGACGAGTCTCAATTCATTAGTGATCCGAGGGGCGAGTCACGATTCATTAGTGATCTGAGGGGCGAGTCACGATTCATTAGTGATCTGAGGGGCGAGTCGCGATTCATGAGTGATCCGAGGGGCGAGTCGCGATTCATTAGTGATCGGAGGGGCGAGTCGTGATTCATTAGTGATCCGAGGGACGAGTCTCAATTCATTAGTGATCCGAGGGACGAGTCTCAATTCATTAGTGATCCGAGGGACGAGTCGCGATTCATGAGTGATCTGAGGGGCGAGTCGCGATTCATTAGTGATCCGAGGGGCGAGTCACGATTCATGAGTGATCCGAGGGGCGAGTCGTGATTCATTAGTGATCCGAGGGACGAGTCTCAATTCATTAGTGATCCGAGGGGCGAGTCGCGATTCATTAGTGATCCCCCCCGATTCATTAGTGATCCGAGGGGCGAGTCGCGATTCATTAGAGATCCGAGGGGCGAGTCGCGATTCATTACTGATCCGAGGGGCGAGTCACGATTCATTACTGATCCCCCCGATTCATTAGTGATCCGAGGGGTGAGTCGTGATTCATTACTGAACCCCCCCCGATTCATTACTGATCCGAGGGGCGAGTCGCGATTCATTAGTGATCCCCGTGATTCATTAGTGATCCGAGGGGTGAGTCCCGATTCATTAGTGATCCAAGGGGCGAGTCCCGATTCATTAGTGATCCAAGGGGCGAGTCCCGATTCATCAGTGATCCGAGGGGCGAGTCGCGATTCACTGGTGATCCGAGGGGCGAGTCGCGATTCATTAGTGATCCGAGGGGTGAGTCGTGATTCATTAGTGATCCGAGGGGCGAGTCGCGATTCATTAGTGATCCGAGGGGTGAGTCGTGATTCATTAGTGATCCGAGGGGTGAGTCGTGATTCATTAGTGATCCGAGGGGCGAGTCGCGATTCATTAGTGATCTGTAAGATTCATTGATCACCAGAGATCCTCAGATGACTGTGTGTGTGTGTGTGTGTGTGTGCAGTGGGATGAAGGTGTGCTGACGATGAGTAAAGGTGAAACGGCGCGGTTGGAGATCGAGTCGGATTGGGCGTACGGGAGGAAAGGCCTTCCAGATGCAAAGTATCCTTCGTTAAACGTCTCACTAATTGATTATTTGATGATGTTCTTCAGACTGATATGATGTTCCTCTGGCCTTAACCATTATTACCCAGAATCCCACCGAACGCAAAGCTGATATTTGAGGTGGAGCTGGTGGCTATTGATTGATCGTCGGGAACCATGTGACGGCGGTTTGGAGGGAACGTTTGTTAGGACATGTTCATTATTAATCAAGTTATTTCAGCCTGACAAAGAGAAGTTTTCTGACTATTTTTGCATGATTGTAAAGCAATAAAAAAAACAAACCCTGAACAATGTGTTGTGCCGTTCTTACACATATATTACATGTACAGTGTGTGTATATTATATATTGTTATAACTCTTGAATGTAAATCCGAATATATAGTTATTAGTCAGAATATATATATAAATCCTGAATATTTAGTTGTAAATCATTCAGAATTTACATTTATATGTTCAGATTTAACTATGTATTCAGCATTTATAAATTTATATAGTCAGTTTTAATAATATATTTAGGATTTATAAATTGTTATAACTATAAAATCAGGATCTAAATAAATTATTCTATTTACATTTACATATTGTTATAACTATATATTGAGGATTTATAAATGTGTATATGTGTTTATGCGTTTATAAATATATTCAGTTATAACTAAATATTCAGATTCATATATTTAGTATTATAACTATATTTAGTTCTCTACATAATCAGGATTTATAAATATATATTACTAATATACCCGACTCAGAGCAACATTTATTTAGTCATACATGTAATATATTAAATAATAACTCTAAATATATAAAAGTAAATCTGAATATGTAGTTTATATTCAGATTTGTATCTATATATTTAGATTTACATTGATATATTCACATATTTCCTGTTTGGCCCAATAAATATATATATATATATGTGTGTGTGTGTGTACAACAATTTTTTTTCTACTATAAACACACTGTAAACTACATGAATATACTGATGAATAATCCAGCAATGAAACGAGACCCATCTCAGCTCAAGAAGCATCTTTATTCTGCACACATGCTCCTCCAGAGTGTGTGTGTGTGTGTGTGCTCGGGGTTTAGGAGTTGGCGTTGGGACCCTTCTTCTTCCCGAATGTGGGAACCACGTTAACGAAGCGACGGTTGTACTGGATGCGGCGCTTGGCGCGGCCCGTCTTCTTCTTCTTCTTCTCCTGTTTGTCCACCTACACACACACACACACACACAGAACGGCATCTGAGACTACAGGACATGCATTTCACGTCAAAATAATAATATTAATCATCAACAAACGACTCACTTTGGGTGTCTGTCCTCTCACTTTACCGGCACGAGCCAGAGATCCGTGAACTTTACCTGATCAACACACACACACACAATGAATTAAAGATTATATATTAAAATAAATGCAATATTAAAATAATGCATTTAAAATAATGCAATAAATGCATACAAATTATAAATAAATAAATACAATAATATTATATTAAAGTGAGCGAGCGACAGTGTGAGTATGTCAGTGTGTGTGTGTGTGTACCTCCCAGGAGTCTGGCGGTGAGCTCCAGTGTGCAGTGCTCGGTGACTCCGCAGCTCAGAAGAGTGTGTTCATCCTCCAGTGGAGATCCGGACAGCAGAAGCACCTGCTCCTCCACAGACAGACCCTCCAGAGCCTGGACCTGAGCCTACACACACACAAACAGCATGAGCACGAACACACACACACACACGTCTGAGAACACACTGAAGCTCATGCTCACCTTGATGTCATGGACGGTCTCGTGTCCGGACACCTCGAGTGTGTGTAGAGACTGAGCGCGCAGGAACAGCTGCATGATGAGCTGAAACACACACACACACACACACCAGATCAACACACACTCAAACAGACCAGACTAAACCACACCGGACCAGACATCATAGATCAATGATATATTTAAACTTATTAACTTTCTATTCATTATTATTATTATGTCTACACACACACACACATATAAATATATAAACACTGCTATTAAAAAGTGTGGGATTGATACGATTTTTTATGTTCTCGAAATAAGTCCAAAAGCTAGATTTATTTGAATAAAAATACAGTAAGATTCTAATGTAAATCATCTGTTTTCTATGTGAATATCCAGTAAAGTGTAATTTATTCCTGAATTTATCATCATTACTCCAGTCTTCAGTGTCACATGATCCTCCAGAAATCACTCTAATATGAGGATCTGATGATCAACACACAGTTATGATTATTATCATCATTGTCATATTTCTGGAAACATTAATACATTTTATTTCTCTGAATTCTTTGATGACTATAAAGTTTAAAAGTACAGGATTTCTCTGAAATAGAAAGCTTTTGTAACATTATACACTATAAATCAAATGTTTAATTATTTTTGGAAAGAAATTAACACTTTTATTCATCAAGGATGCATTATGTATAATATTACAAAGTATTTTATCTAATATAGATGCTGTTCTTTTAAACTTTCAAAGAATCCTGAAATAAGAATGTAAATAACCGTTTTTTAACAATGATAATAACTATAAATTATATGTTTCTTGATGGTTTCAGGTTTTATTGTCCTGAAGTAAACTAATTTCTGATGTACTACTTTTTAACGGAAACCCGGACGTGTTTTCATGATATTCGCCTTTCTGCATTCGCTTAAAATTACTGTAACTGTTTAATATCATATCTTCTGAATCACATATTTAATGACAGATATTATAAGAAACTCGTGTACGAGTGAGTGTGTCGCGTGCGCGAGCGCGGTGTGGATCACACGGGGAAACTAAACGCGATTTAAAGGCTTTTACTGAGATATTTCGACTCAGGGTTTGAACATAACACATGGTAAGGCTTATGGATGCAGTCCATGTCGCATTAAAGTACATTACAAACGAGAAACGCGATAAATAAGTGATTTAATTAGCAGGCCTTACGTTTGATGATGCTAGTCGTTCCACAACTGGACGAGGAAAGGAAAGTGCGCATGTGCGGAGCAAAGAACTCTGGGAAAAGCGCTGCCCACGTGATCGTGACGGAGGCCGCAAGGCAAAATACTTTTTTTATTGAATTTTATTTATCACATTTTTATTTATCACATTATCCGTGCGCGTTCGCTCAAATGACGATACTGAATGTTATAAAATGACGCATACATAAATAAAACAGAAAAAGAACAAGAACAAAGAGAAACAACAACAAAAATGAAGAAATGTTAATTTTATTAGAAAATAAGTGGAAACTTTGGGAACCACATTTCCATTTTATAGTATACACAAACCTTTTGGAACAAATTATTAAAAAAATTAAAAACATGTATCCTGAATTTTATAGTATGTAATGTTTTTAATGTGTATGTAATGTATGTTCTTGTGGAATTTAAGAAAATATATTTTTAAATTTAAATAAAAAATAACAGATGTGTTCATACATTTTAAGAACATTAATAAAGACCAGAAGACTTTGAAGAAATGCTTTATTAATGTTACTAGAACCTTGAGAGGACGTTCTTTGATAGCGGAGTATATAGGCTGTATTTCAAAAAGTAAATGTTAAAATTATTACCCAGAACAAAATTTTGACTATTATTGTGTTTGTTTCCATCTTGAACATCAGTCCCTCGATGAATAGACGATCTCACCGTCATCATATACAGTCACTGTTGAGAAGATGCTGGAAAACCAAAGAAAATCATCTGTTTCATACGCTCACGTTCTCTGGGAAAGAAGAAAAATTAGCTTTTAAGACTTTTAATTTGACTGACACACAATTTTAAAAAGACCAATGGTAAATAAAACCAGCACGAATATTACAAAATACAAAAATCAAATTAGTTAAAACATGATATATATTTTGATACGGAAATAAGCAAAGCTTTTATCAGTGAAAAGCGCGATTTAGCGGAATAAGCCCCGCCTCCAAAATAAAAAGCCAATCATAGACCGTATTCAGCGCGGCGCCATGACAGGTATGAAATCGGGGCTGTGAGGAATTAGAAATGGCATCCGCTGTAAAAATATCCTGGATCACTTATTTTCCACAGCTGAAATAATATATTTCTGCAGTGTTTCGTCAGTAGGACAATTCAAAAACACATTAAATAACAGTACAACCGACTGAAGAGATGTCTATTCCTCACAGCATCAATCAAAAATGGCGCTGCTGTGAATGTCCTTGGAAGCTCAACTGCGCATGCGCGTTGACTGGTCCTGTCTGAAAAACGCAGTTTATTAACATGATTTGAACGTTTAGAAACATTTATGATACAGTTGTTGTCAGACTTTATTGGTGACAAGCTTGGTGAACAGCTTTGGAGAATTTGATGTGTCCCGTTCAAAGAGATGACTGAGGCGTTTCCAAGATGGCCGCCGAGTGAAATGACTTGGCTTTTCTCCACTGACAGACAAAATATACAATCTCAGATGCTATAAAATAAAACGGTTAGTTTGTTGCTGAACAAAGTGCAAATAGTACATTTATAGCAACAGTTTAGACAGGGCTGCCAACTTGGAGCGAAAATTAGGGATCGGTGTAAAAAAAATGCATCACAATAAGTGTATTGTGATTGTCAAAGCATTTGGTAACTACATTTTCTTAAGCCCAGTGTCAACGTTACAGTTTTTACACGGTCACATCCCATTTTAAACATAGCTTGACACTAATTTCATGATTCCGAACTCGATTCTTTTAGATAAATATTACATACAGTAGATAGGTCCACACTTAAAATGCTGTAAACATACAGAGCCCTGTCAGCTGGTATTATTAAAGGTTAAAAATAGCAATTCAAATTAAATATGCTGTTATAATTATGTTATATTTTTAATACAATATATGTAATAGTGCACATATGTATCTCTATAAGTAATCTGCTATGGTCAATAAATGGCTTTCCTGAGGTAAATGTAACATTACGTTTCATTATTCTGCAGCTTTTGACCTCTTTGATCAATATTACGCATGAGCCATACACATTTCGCTAAGTTTTAACCTAATATTGTGCAATCGTGTTCATTTCGATGATCGGTTCACGTGCCGCTTGAACTGAGGCGCTACGACCTGTCACTTCACATTTACTATTTAAGTGCCAAAACAGTATTTATGGTTTGATTTTTGTAATGCGATAGAATCTGAGAATTAGTTTCATATCAAAAGTGTCAGTTGTGTGAGTGGGCAGCCCTGTATAGATGGTAGTATAAACATTCAAACAGCCGCATAAGTAAATGAATCACATTCACAGGCGTGTAGGATGTCAATCTCTTTATTATGAAACCAAGTCGAAATAAAAAAAACGTCTTCATGTCACGTTTATCTCTGAAAACAGGATCACATTGATTGAGGAGAGCAGAGATGATGTCAAAGTGCTGCATTCTCAACTCCTTCCACACAAATGTAAATCGTTCACCGAACACAACTAAACCTCCAAAAGCACTAAACCAAATCAAGCTTGGTTAAAAACTCGCTTGCACTTAGACAGAGGGGAGGGGAAAGCGGATTTCAACAGAAGAGAACAGAATGTCTGAGACGGTGTGTGTTGCAGCAGTTCGAGCAGGTGTAAGATGCAGGATCCGGGTGGGCATTATGTGGGAGGCGGTGGGTAGTACTGGTTATACTGACCGTATTGACCGTACTGACCCCAGGAATTCTGAGCTCCCCATGAGTTATATTGCTGGAACAGAAGAAAACAGAAGGTTGTGAGAGTACGGTTGTATAAATCCGGTTATAGTACAGGTATTGGTAACTCAAAAACAATTTTTAAAAGTTTTCCCCAAGAAATTTTTTTTACACGTTCAGGCGTCTGGTTGGTCATGAGCGTTGATAAACTGACCTGATACCAGTTGTTATAGTTGTATCCTGCACTGTTGGCCGTCATGTCCATCATCTGACCCGAGGCCGCTGATTGGTCGTCTGTTCGCTGTCTCTTCGCGTCCGGCTCCTCTGAGCTGCATCACACCAGACAAAACACTCATCTTCAACGTTCTCAAATGTTTAAAATATGCAAATTAGCCATAGTATCAAATATGCACTTCCAAAACAGAAATCTGAACAGTGGATAGAGTCAGATTCATAATTACTGTTGTGCTTTTAAATTTACTATCGACCGGGGATAAAACTTTATCAGGAATAAACGGTTGTAAAATGATACCTGAAAACAAACCTTCAGCATATAGATATGAATAAAACTGCAGAAGTGGAGATTTATGACTCAAACTCACTGCATTTAAAGTCACCCTGTGGTGAAAATCCAGCTTTTAATAATGTTTTTGTCACATATACACTTTTTTTGATCCAAAGAATGATCCGAGACCCAATAAAACAACACTGTAAAATGACCCGACCCGTGAATTTTGTGATGGGCGGCACCTCTGGTAATGAGCACAGACTTACCCGTTCTCTGCTTTCCTCTTTAGCGTCTCCTGCTCCGCCTCGAGCCGCTGGTGCTGTTCGTATGCCGCCACAAGTCTGCGGATGAACACAGTTACGTTAAAAACACATCCCCTAAACTAATGTTCAGCCTAAAGGAGTCTGAAATCCTCACACATCAAAAAATAAATACGACCTCACGTTGTGTCAGTCACATTTACACACGAAACTCTCATTCGTCATGAAAAAATTCAGATCGGGCTCCATTTTCTGTGTTTTTCGCATCCGTGGTATTTTAAGGTGTTTTGACCATTCAGAGCCACCGAATGACGAATATGAAAAAACACATACGAACTCAGCTAGTGGTTGAAATCGGTACTGCAGTCCAAATTCAAAATTGCAAAGCTCGTTATTATTAAACTGCATTTATCGCTTAAATTTCTTTTAAAAATTACCAAATTTTAAAGTTGAGACTTTCATATCAAAAGTCAAGCTGCTCTGTGATGGTGTGGTGTGACAGAGGCGTGGCTCTCGGGCACAGCAACAGTAACAGTAACTAAAGGGGGCGGGTCTTTGCGAACGGTCAATTGACAACGAAAGCGGAGGACACTTACAGACTGTGTTTTAACATAACGTGATTTTTAGATGGATCGAGGCTTTGTAGGTTGTGTGGAATCTGCAATCTCTGACCCATTTCCATGGCGACGACAATACGTCGTGTTTTCCGACATCTGCACCCTGGGGTGTCGAAATACTATTGGCTGAACTGGCAGTGGGCGGAGTCAGACCAAAACAAAAACAGTAAGTAAAAAAACGTCTGTAGAAGTGAAAACGAGCCTGTGATCTTAGCACGTGTCCTAATTATCTGCAAACATATGGTATTTTTATGCTTCAGCGTACCAAGGTTACTCCACAGCCCCTGTAAGAAGAGAGGAAAGTTACGTACACGTTGATGTCACTGCCGAAGTCCTCGAGGAACTCGACCTTGCGTTGGGAGAAGGTGACGCGTGACTCGAGGGGCATGGAGCTGCTCAGCGCCCGGTCGAAGCACGCGATGATCTCGGGCTCGTTCTGCTGGATGTCTCCGCTGTACTCCAGCTCAAGCAGGTTCAGGTACAGCTTCGGGTTCGTCTGCGCACACACACACACACACACACACGGTCAAACCCGAGTGCATTCAGACACCTTCAACTAGTGATGGGTCATTCATGAAAGATCCAGTTCACACTGATCCAAAGACTAGGAAGAGAAATGATATATATGTGTTCTCTGTATATTATCTTTGGCTAGATTGCGGGAATTTGGCTGTTAAAAGTATAACATTTAAAGCCACTTAAAATGAATGAAACGACTCAAAGATTCGTTCATTCTGATGATCTAGATTCTAGAGTCACTAAAATGATCTGAACTTCCCATCACTACCAACATTTCTCACATCATCAGTTTATTGGCTGTAGTTTATAAAGATGAGCAGAACTCAGTTCTCAGATCAGTGGATGTGTGACTGGTTTTCTCCGTCCTTCTGTTGGACTCTCACATTATGTTGAATATCTGTCAGCTGTTCAATTAGATAATACCAGTTTAGCTCAACCAGTGACCAATGCTTCATGTTGTTCAGTGTGTGTGTAAAAAGAGCATTAGCACTTACAGAACACACACTTAACACACTCAAAGTGGAGGAATCATTATTGCACCCAATAATGAGAAAATAATATGACCCCGTCTTTATCAACGGCCTCCATCCGCACTTTTTTTGTGCACCATTTTTTTTTTGTGCACCTTAAAAAGGATGTTGCGTGGAAAAATAATAGTATTTTTTAAAATACCAAAAATTCTAGATTCCTTAAATCACAAGTCAACCTGTTTTTTTTTATAATCCAATATTTATCACAGAGGAAAAAAAATCATTTGTGAGAATAAAACTAAACAAAAAATCAATTAAAAAAAAACCATGAAATTAAACGGATTATGCATTGCTATATTGGTGCATACAAATGAAAATACTTAAATATTTGTGTTCATTCAGCGCAAATAACACGACCTCGTCTCGTTCGACGGCCTCCATCAGCACTTTCTTGGCCTTGCCGATGCTCTTCTGCACTTTGACCATCTGCCGCGCCAGCTTCACGGCGTAGAACGAGGACTCGCTGCTGTTCTTCCCGTTGGTGATCGCGTCTCGCAGCAGGGCCTCGGCCTCGTCCATGTTCCCGTGCCGGCGCTCCAGACTCACCCGCCTCAGCCTCACCATGGCCAGTCCCGGCACGGCCTCCTCGAACGCCTTCAGGATGCTCCGGGCGTCCTCGATGCTGCCTGCGGGGCGCCAGGTTTGCAGAGTCAGTGTCAAACACACACACACATGCATATGCACACACTACCAGCTAAACGTACTGGATCGGTAGATTTTTTTGTTTTTAGAAAAAGTGTCTTCTGCTCACCATCATCAGTTTTCTATGTGAATATACAGTAAAGTGTGATTTATTCTTGAATTTATCATCATTACTCCAGTCTTCAGTGTCACATGACCCTTCACAAATCACTCTAATATGAGGATCTGATGATCAACACACATTAATCAGTTGAATCTTTTTTTTCAGGATGCTTTCATGAGTAGAAAGTACAAAACAGCAGCATTTATTTGAAATATCTTTATCTTTAAAGTGAAGACTGGAGTAATGATGCTTTGATCACAGGAATTATTTCTGTACTTTACTGTATAATCATATAGAAAACTGCTGATTTACATTGGAATATTTCACAATATTACCGTGTTTTTTTTTTTCTTCTTTTTTATTTTTAATCATATAAAAGCAGCTTTGGTGAGCAGAAGAGACTTTTAAAATCTGACCGATCCAAAACGTTTCACTGGTAGTGTATTCAAATCTCACGTTTGGTTTGATCGTCATAAAATGTAACTTAATGCATTAAAATATTAAGATAAGCATTAGCATCATAATTTTCTGTAAAGCTGCTTTGAAACAATGTGTATTTATTGTGAAGTGGGATAAAAATAAATTTGACTTGACAAATTACAAGTTTTCTGGAAAATAAATCGCACCATGTCAAAATTGAATTGTCGACAGAGAACAAAAATAAGTCACATTTTATTACTAGTTTCAGAAATTATGTAAAATATCGGTAAGAACAAAACATTTACAAATATTAAACTAAGGAAGCTTGTTTCCACCACAGAACAAAACATTTTAAAAGATAATTGTGACTTTATCCCACAATTGTGAGTTTTCATGAGACTTGTGCGTTATAATGTCAGAATTGCGTGATATAAAGTCGCAATTATGAGTCACAATTCTTTTTAAATGTTTTATTCTGTGGCAGAAACAATCTTCCTTATTGAACAGTTTAGTTCCCATCACTACAGGATAAAACAGAACTAAATATTTACAACAGGATGCCATTCACTATAAACAACACTATAACTGCCAAGCAAAAGCAAAACTGAAATGCCATCAGCAAGTTTTGCTGCTAATTAGAAATATGTTATTTGTGAGCTTGTTACGCGCTAGTGGTAAACAAATAGAGCCGGATGTGGATATCGTGTGCGCTGAAAAAATAATAAAGTAGTGAAAGAACATGGAGGCGATCACGGCCAGTAGAGCGAGCCGTTTTAAATTGTAGTATGTCTCTATTTTTATTTTACAGTGAGAATGTAAAGCACATTGGTCAACTTGTGTTGTTTTAATAGTGCTATACAAATAAACATAAAGATGACATTGACATTAATGTCACATTGATCAATACGCCATTTAACGTTGCAGTTTTCCAGAAAATACAGTTATTTTGGCTTAAAGAAGGTCATATACATCTAAGATGGCTTAAGGGTGACTCAATTATGGGATAATTTCAATTTGTTGGGCGAATTAACCCTTTAATACGCGTTTACGGAGTCAACAGCGTAACGTTACCTTGCTGCTCCTCAAAGGCCGCCCAGAGCAGGTGGACGGTGGGTTTCTTGGGAAGGTGGACCGTGCAAGCCTTCTTATAGATGTGCCGAACGCCCTCGGTGCTGTAGCTCTCCAGATACTTGGCATACTTCAGGAGAGAGAGAGAGAGGGAGAAAAAGAGAGGGCAAGAAAGCAAGAGATGGAGAGAGAGGGAGAGGGCAAGAAATAGATAGAGAGAGAGCAGGAGAGGGCAAGAATGCGAGAGAGAGAAAATAGAGAGGGGGAACAAGAGAAAGAGGGCAAGAAAGAAAAATAGATAGATAGAGAAAAAGAGAGAAGACAAGAGAGCAAGAAATAAGAAGAGCGAAAGCGAGAAAGGGGGCAAGAAAGAGAGAAAGAGGGAATAACAGAAGAAGAGGGAAAAGAACACATAAAACTTGAGCTTTCATTTCACATCCCCTGCACTGGTGAATTTCCACAAGATCGTTTTGAGAATTTCTGTTTTAAACCCATCAGCACCTTCATGGAACCAATAAGATAAGATTCTGTAAGGTAGAAGGAGACGGAGAGGTGCAACGTAGTTGGCAAATGCTGCAGTCAAATCTTGTGTGGCAAAGCAGGCCATCCCCTAATATAACAGATACAGTCAAATATCAACGTTACACGCAAAGAGTGCAGCAAGTTTTACTGTGGAAGTGATGATATCGTTGATGGGGAAGCAGAGGGTTGGACTGAGGGAATGGAGGCGGGGGCCGCGAGCGCGTGTAGCTAACCTTGATCCAGAACTCCTCGTACAGCGCGCAGGCGATCAGGCAGCGCTCGAACAGAACCACCACGCGCTCCGGCGTCCCGTTCTCCAGCTCGAAGTCCAGGTACTCCCTCCAGTTGTGGAGCTGCGTCTTCTCCAGGGCCTTCACGTGGAAGTACGGGCGCTTGATCTGCGGGGCACACAGCGTTCGTCAGGTCAGTGTGTGTGTGTGTGTGTGCGCAATCATTCATTCAAACTGAAACCTAAACAAGTGAACGATGTGCTCATAGGGGTGGGCGATATGGAAAAAATATCATATCACGATTTTTTTAGGAAAATCACGATCACGATTTTTTATCACGATTCTTTTTCAAGTTGGTTTTAATATTTTGCAAGTGGCTGTTCATTACAGCCAAACTAATGTCCCAATGTTAAAAACAAAGCCTTAGGTAACAAAAGAAAAAAGAAAGGCATACATTTAGGCCAGTGGCGAAGATAAAAATCTTTGTCATTATTTTCTTTGTTATTAAAAAAATAAGACAAGATAAACATTACACAAATTAATATTCATATTAAATAAATAGTGCTTTATTTTTTCAGATGCAGTAGGTGTATTTAGCAGTAGCATTGAAGTAATTAAATGAACAAATATGAAATTAAAACACTACATAGACTTCACTGAATAAATTGATTCTTATTAAAGATATATTAACCCCCTGAGCCCGACGGCGTCGTCGACGATGCCACACGTCACCTCCGATAAATGTTTACATAACTCGATGACAGATTTATCGATTTTCTTACCGTTTTTTCCAGCAGAAAGCTAACGAGCTAGCCATCACGGGGATGTCTTTCGGGTCTTTCTAGCCTTTACAGAAGGTTTTCTATCCAGCCTGGAACTTGTGCTACCTTTCAGAGGTTTTCAGCAATAAATCCAAACGCTTTATGTCAAACTTTGATAATCTTGAAGCCCATAATTCATAAATATTCGGTCATTTTTGCCGCTAGCTCGACGCTAGCGGCCATTCTGGATATCACGTGATGTTTTCACGTGATGGTTTTTGACCAATTACAGGCTGATCCGTTGTAAACATTGGTGTGCGTCATTACGCATGAACCAAGCGCTGATATAGTGGAGAGAGATAGAGACGCGCGATTCACAGAGAAACACAGCGAAATAGACGTAAATAAAGCGCTGGTCTATTTTGGTGCATTGCAGGATGAAGGATTTTCAGGAGAACAGAGCTTTTTGACAGATGAGGAACTAGATTACCAGGATAGACCCAGCTGAAGTGCCATTTATTTATTTACTGTAAAAAAGTATTATAGTAGTATAAATATATTATAAAAGAATAAAAAGAACATAATAAATAAAAGAATAAATAAAATAGAAATGCAGAACCTGTGATGTGGCCCTCTGTGTGATTGCTGATAGGAACTGTTTTGAGGCTTGGCACCAGTGAATTTCATGAGGCCCCAAACGCCTGGACTTCTTTTGGAAAAATGTCAATAGTTTTTGTTCTGTACAAGTTATAATGTTTATTCCTGTGCTCCAGGACTCCAAAGACATGAACAAACTATTTTCCAGAGGAAAATTGCTTAGCTTTTATTTATTTGTGTGTGATTTCCATAAATATTTGAGTGATTCCATTTCCGATTTATTTTTTCATTTGTCTTTATGGTCCCATAACTTATTTTACATTCAGGTGACATCAATGTAACACAAATATGCTGAAAGTTCAATTTGTCCTGAAAAAAAAGAGGTGTGTCAATTGTCTGTGCACCAAAGGGTTGATATTTTACAAGCTTTTTTAGTAAATGACACCAGACGGAAAATTTATTGTAAAAATACCCTTAGGTCTCAGAGGGTTAAAGTTCTCAGTCAGTGAGTGATTTTCTCCTTGTGTTTTTTGTTTTGTTTTTTGTTTTATTAACACTAAAGGGATAGTTCCCTCAAAAATGAAAATGGTCTTAATTTACTCTCCCAAGATGTTTTAAACCCGAATAAGTTTCTTTCTTCTGTTGAAAATAAAAGTTATTTTGAATAATGTGGGTAACCGAACAGTTGCTGGTCCCCCTATAGTTTTTTATAGGTTCTCTCCTGGAAGTTAATGGGGACCAGCAACTGTTTGGTTACCCACATTAAAAAAAAAATCGTCTTTTGTGTTCAGCACAAGAAAGAAATTAATACAGGTTTGGAACAACATAAGAGTGAGTAAATAATGACAGTTTTTTTTTTTTTTTTTTGTGAACTATCCCTTTAAGGACATGCGGCAGTACTATTTATTCCTGTCGCTTTTAGACCAGCACGCGACGCGTTTAATATAGAAGCATATTACACCAGATATTCTCTCAAATGTTTGCTTTCTCTTTAGACATAGCCTGTTTATGTAAACATTGTGTGTATATATACATAATAAGACTCGAAAGATAACTTAGTCCAGTACTCAGGCGCTGTTTGACAGGCTTCTAGTGCCTGTGAGCGTATGCCTATGCGGTCAGGAAAGCGCACGTTAGAACAGCGCATCAGCGCGTGAATTAAATGTTTAACCGGCAAGGCTTATGCAAATAATGAACTTTTGTGATTTGCAGTGTCCCGTACCTGTTCATTAACGTGTGATGTGTAGGCTACGTCGCGTTGTACAGTTGAGAGACGGAGGCGCCAGAACTGAACTGATAGAATGCACTGTAACACGATACTACGATATTTCTTCAAAAGCAGATCGTGGAGACATTTTAATCGTCCACGATTAAAAATCGTCATATCGCACACCCCTAGTGTGTGTGCGATCATTCAAACTGAAACCTAAACAAGTGAATGATGTGCTCACACAGCCAGAGCCGAAAGCTTTCCAACACTCACCCCCTCCTCGAAGGCCCAGCGCTTGCTGACTTCATGCTCGTTGTGGTTGAACACCTCCTGCCGGGTCTCGATCACCTTGTGCCTCATGTTCTCGATCTCCGTCACTCTCTGAAGGGCAAAACACAGCGTCCTGAGCGGCGCGCAGTGACAGCGCAAACATTTTATCTCGTCTGATGTCCAGCTACGCAAAAGGTCTACGTCACCATGAGTTTGACAGAAACAGTACGGTTTGCACACCCAGTGAATCAGCTGTGGCCCAAGCCCCGGTGCTGGGAAGGGACGGTGTCATTTCGTCACGAGCCCGTCCCACTTTAAGCCCAAGTCCCTGATTGGATGCCAACCTGGACCCTCAGGTTTTCATTGGCTGCTAACGGAAAGACACCTCTTCAAACCTGCACACGTTTGCTTGTCTCCAGGATCAGCTAGACGCCCCTGCCTACCTGTGCCATGTTTGATAACCCCCCGACGGGACACGGGACGCTTACCTTTGCGGGATCCGGCAGGTCCTCCGTTCCCGGCGGAAGCTCTTCGCCAGGGGCATCGTCTCCGCTAGGCTTGTTAGCGTTAGCTAGTTCCACTCGCAGGGGCACGAACTCCTCCTCCGACAGGAAGTGCTTGGGGTTGTTGCTCTGCACGTGTTCTTTGAACCTGAACAAAGAGTGATTTTACAATCAAACTGCACAGAAAATTGGCAAAAACCACAACAGTCATCAGGAATTTCTCACTAGCCGCGTTTCCATTGCAATTTTATTTTGTAGGCGTTTTTGTAAACCCATGTTATGCGAGCGAGAGAGAGAGAAAGCAAGAGAACGAGCGAGTGAGAGAAAGCGCGAGTGAGAAAGAGAACAAGAGAAAGATCGAAAGCAAGAGAGGGAGAAAGCTAGAGAGAGAGCGAGTGAGAGAAAGCGCGAGAGAGCAAACGCGAGCGTAAGAGAGAGAGAGCAAGCGAGACCGAGTTGATTCCGGACACACGATGACATCTGAATACCCGTGTCTAAACAACTGTGCTCTCGGCTCTGTCATGAGTGACCAGGTGAGAGAGAAGCCGGACGTTTGTCAGTTTATGGGCTATATGCACGCATAAGTTCCGCATTTGACGCAAGGATGCTCGTCCATTTCCGGTTGTGGAGATTAAAGCGGAGGAAAACGGGATTATGGCAGAGTCTTCAAAATTTACTGTCCTCCCGTCTTTGGACTCTACGATTGGCGGAAGTTATCGAGCATCCTTACACCTTCACCGGAAATAACGCCGTGCATTGAGCCCATTCCGTCCGTGAATTCGGTCCTAAGTGACGACAGCCTAATATTCCTGCAGTCATCCGCATCATTAATGTTAATAAAACAAAATTTACAGATGAATCTATTTAATTTCAATAGTAAACGCATAATTATTTTACATTTAGCCCTAATTATGAATTTCTGTACCCGATTACCACTGTTAGACTTTTAGTTTAGACTTTAACCCCTTTGGTGTCACCCTGCCTTTTTTGAATATACAGTGGGGGAAATAAGTATTTGACCCCTTGCTGATTTTGCAGGTTTGCCCACTTACAAAGAATGCAACGATCTATAATTTTAATCATATGTACATTCTAACAGTGAAAGACAGAATCCCAAAGAAAATTCCAGAAAATCACATCATATAAATTTATTAAAATTGATAACCATCTAATGAGGAAAAACAAGTATTTGACCCCCTACCAAACAGCATGTTAATATTTTGTAGAAAAGCCATTATTGGCCAGCACAGATGTCAAACGCTTTTTATAGTTGGTGACAAGGTTTGTGCACATTTCGGCAGGGATGTTGGCCCACTCCTCCCTGCAGACAGCCTCCAAATCTTTCAGGTTCCGAGGTTGTCGCCTGGCAACTCGAATTTTAAGCTCCCTCCAAAGATTTTCAATTGGATTCAGGTCTGGAGACTGGCTAGGCCACTCCAGAACCTTGATGTGCTTCTTCTTCAGCCACTCTTTTGTTGCTTTGGCGGTGTGCTTAGGGTCGTTGTCGTGCTGAAACACCCATCCTCGACCCATCTTCAGCTCTCTCACTGAGGGAAGGAGATGTTGGTCCAGAATTCCACGATACATGGCCCCGTCCATCCTCCCCTCAATACGATGGAGTTGTCCCGTCCCCTTGGCTGAAAAGCACCCCCAAAGCATGATGTTGCCACCACCATGCTTGACGGTAGGGATGGTGTTCTTTGGGTTGTACTCGGTGTTCTTTGCCCTCCAAACACGACGAGTTGAGTTGAGGCCAAAAAGTTCTATTTTGGTCTCATCTGACCACATCACCTTCTTCCAGGCCTCTTCTGAGTCGTCCAGGTGGTGAATGGCGAACTTCATGCGGGCCTGTACATGTTTCTTCTTGAGCAGGGGGACCTTGCGTGCGCTGCAGGATTTCAATCCATGACGGCGTAGTGTGTTACCAACCGTTTCTTTTGTAACTGTGGTCCCAGCTGCCTTCAGTTGATTCATCAGTTCCCCCCTTGTTGTTTTGGGATGATTCCTCACCGTTCGCATGATCAGGGACACCCCACGAGGCGAGATCTTGTGTGGAGGCCCAGACCGAGGGAGGTTGACGGTGGTGTGGTGCTTCTTCCATTTCCTTATAACTGCACCGACAGTTGATCTTTTCTCTCCCAGTTGCTTTCCGATTCTCTTGTAGCCCATCCCAGCCTTGTGCAGATCGACAATCTTTTCCCTGATGTCCGTACAAAGCTCTTTGGTCTTGCCCATGGTAGTGAAGTTGGATGCTGGTTGTTTGGGTGTTGACAGGTGTCTTTTATACAGGTAATGAAGTGAGGCAGGTGTATTTGATGTAGATAATTGGTTGGGATTGAGGCTGTGTCTTAAAGAAAGACTAACTGGCTTGTAGGAGCCAGAATACTTGCTGTTTGGTAGGGGGTCAAATACTTGTTTTTCCTCATCAGATGGTTATCAATTTTTATAAATTTATATGATGTGATTTTCTGGAATTTTCTTTGGGATTCTGTCTTTCACTGTTAGAATGTACATATGATTAAAATTGTAGATTGTTGCATTCTTTGTAAGTGGGCAAACCTGCAAAATCAGCAAGGGGTCAAATACTTATTTCCCCCACTGTAGATGAAAACGCACATTTCAAACTTAAATGGTTGTAATTCAAGAATGCTTTGGAATATAGACGTGAGATTGGTCTCGTTTTAAAGAAGACATTTGGCCGATTTTTGTAGAAGTGAAATGAATTGAAATGTGAATGTGAAACAGAAAAAAAATGTATAGAAGTTTGAGTTTATGAAAATGTACAATAAAAAAAAAATTATTCATATTTTATGCAAAATACACATTTTCAAAACCTGGGCGACTCTAGACTACGAAAAAAAAAAATCTGAATAAGTTGCGTTTCAAATTTTAGGTTATCTCTAAAAATGAGCTTTCAGTGAGATTTTGTTTGGGCGCAGTACCAAACTTTTTCACTAGATGACACCCAGACACAATTACTGCCCATATAAGGGCGCCCCCATTTCCATATGAAATAATAATTATAAAATAATTGAATGGAGGCTTTCTTTTGAACTCTTGTCATGAAAACAAACAGGTTACTACCATTCTTTCATGTTCATTACAATTTCAAAATAAAGAGTATGAAAATACTCTTGTTGCAAATTGATAAAATTACGGCTCCTCTGTAATATATTTTGAAAATCAATCACCAAATATGAAAACTAGAGATTCTAAGCTTTCAAATGATATATAGTTTGTCAACATTAGTTTAGGTTTAGTATAAGACAATACTGTTTTAAAAATGTTATGGATTTGGGCCTACCGGTGGGCACGTGACACTTAAGGGGTTAATTCAGTTTGCATCTCTGCTTGTAATTTGTGTATTTGTTCTTATTTTATTACTGACTGTTCATTTGTTTTTGATGTTCTAACACATCGGCCAATCAGAAACGCGTATCGGCCGATGTCAATATTTAAAAAATGCCAAGTATGGTGTGACGACTAATGCTCACTTCTGGAAGTGCTGCGAGTACAGCTGTGTGGGGATGCAGAGGATCCGGTCGTACACGGCCGTGACGTTGGCCAGCTTGTCCTGCTCCGTCTCCCAGGCGATGTAAGCCTCCCACAGACGGTCCGAGCGGAAGTCCGTGCCGCACGCCAGAACCGCGTGCTCATAGGACCTGAGGGAACACAAGCACAGCACTCAAACACATCGCCAGCTTTGGGTTTATTTTGCGGTTTCTTAATCCTACGACTAAATGTCCTTCACAGAGTGCGAAATTTACATTAAAAAAAACCGAATCTGATCAGAATATTTTTATGATGGATGAAAGTTTTGTTTGTGTAAACGTGATTGACGTATCGTGAGGTCGTATTTATTTTTAAACAAAGTGCAAGGACCTTTTTTTTAATTAATACTGTAACAAACACATTCGATCTCAAAATAAATCCTGTATATCAGATTCTTTTACTTTAACATTCAAATGCCAAAAACATTAACATAACTAAATGTACTATTATATGGAGTGTCCATTTAACACCAAGTGCAAAGAGCCGGCTTGTTGGAGGAAGCTATTTACACGAATGACACCATTTTATGACCAAAAAAAACGCATAGTGTGTGTATTTATTTACAAAATTACACAGTACAGTACATATGTAAACAAAATTAATTGAGTATGCGATTGATCGTTGCACAGCCCTAGTGTAGGGAGGGCTTTATCCTAATAAGGCGGAATTTAATAAACAATTTACACTCAATATATTATTGCATTCTGTTTTATAATGTACTAAAATACTGAGGTATAGTATCTCACTACTATTTACATCTCTTGCAAAAACACTGCTATTTTTAATAGCAGCTGCCTTATTTAATACCAAGCAGAATCATAATTCATAATGGCAAATGTGTTATAAAAACCAGCGTCTGGTTCTGTAAGCACATTCAGCAGTTGAAAACCATCTCACAATGTGTAATTATATAGGCGACATAACAATGCAGGAGTGACGGCTACATTTGTATAGTGTGTGTGGTTACAAATAAACCACAATGAGCTTGTGGAATAACCTGTCAGTCATTACAGAAAGCACAGAGGGAACTAACCAATAAGAGGACAGTTTTACTTGCATGTGATCAAGAAGAAAATACAACATTGTAACACATTAAATCCTGTTTCAGAAACCCTGTTCATTTTAACACCCCGCGGCTAACACACACAAGCCCAACTGGTCTGTGCAACTCGTGGGGTTCTCCAGGTTATGCACTTACGCTCGGATGCGGTTCTCCGCCTCCCCGTCGCTGGTGTCCTGGTTCTCTCGCAGGAACGTGATGTAATGAAGCCACAGGTCCACACTGAGCGGGATGGCCTGAAGACCTCGCCGGTACACCTGCAACGTTCACACCGGTTATATACACGAGCCATGGAGTTATAGACCTCATCAAGTTAAAGCTAATCCTTAAATATAGCACAACTAAACGATAACTCATCAACGCAACAATTCAGAAGGGTGGGAATGAAGCACAAATTGACTAATTAATACAGTTCTTTGAACAAATATATAATGAAAATGTAATTGGAAAATGGCATTTAAGACTTTAAGGGCCTTAATTCTCTCTCAATTGGTTTATCAACTTTTAATCATGCGGATATTTATAATATCTTACATTTTGCATTGATTAGCCGTTGAGATATACTATAGCACATAGTCACGGGTAAGAAATCAATTGTATTTAATTTGTGACTGACAACAAAAGATGATTTTCATGAGTTTTGCAGCTTGATCAGACTCACCTCATCGGCCATCTGGATGTAACCATGTTTCCGCTCAATATCAGCGTATTTCTTCCAGTACCCATAACAGTACGGATAGTGCAGGAAGAACGAATCAAACGCCTTCCTCGACGCCACCAGGTGGTTCTGAAACAAAGGAAACGCTGATGAAGCTTGTGATGAGCTGACACTAAAGGGTTAGTTCACCCAAAAAATGAAGACTCGCTCCAAACCCATAGGACTCGTTTATCTTTAAAACACATTTTAATTATTTCAGAGATTTCAGTCCCTAAACCCAAAACATTCATAGAGATTATAAAATAAAACGATTAAGAATGGAGCAGTCTTCTGGAGAAACCCAATCAGTTTATATTAGGGAGACCGATGTGAACACTTCAGCCGATACCAAATTATTTATATTTGAAAGCCGATTACCGATATATTGGCCGATTAATCTAAATTTGTATATAATTACACAAACAAGATCAATGTCCCAAACACACAATTATGTTCTCATTGTAATGTTATAAAGCTGATGTGAAACGTTGCATGTTGTACGCTCACGTCACAATTAGATACATAATTATCGCGATACTCCAAGACGTACGATAAAAGATTAACAGGTTCATTAAATGAACAGTTGATTAAAATGCTAAATTTGGTATTTCATTGTGTGTGTAAATGAATAGGCTTGGACTTGGTGCTGAAACCCAAAGCAGGACAATAGAGACACCAGAATAACAATATTCATGATTCTTAATCTTTTAGTTGTATATGCTTGCACTCTTTCACTAACTAGATATCTTTAAAATAATGTGGGCCCCCTTTTACTGGTAACATCTGGCATTATCAGGACCCACAAATATTCCTCAATTGCATTATTATTATACATTATATAATAGTTTAATGTAGTACTGACACTTTCTCTTCTTAATTCATATTTTGGGTGAACTATACACAATGTATATTGTCACTATCCACATTACACAGTTGCATTTTGTATTGCTGCACCCCTCGTGAATAACCTTTCAATGGAGGAACTTTATCAAAAATATCTGTGTTTTGAAGATGGAAGTGTTCAGTGCTGTACCTCTTGCTCCACATACTGCAGAAGGTAGACCCATCCATTAAAGTCTTCCGGATTCTCTTCCACGACCTTCGAAAGACGCTCGTACTCTGTGGGAAACTCGGGTTCTTGCGGTTCGGCTGGTTCTGCTGCGGTTTCGGCTCCTGGTTCTGCGGGCTCTTCTTTGGGAGCATCTTCCAGCTCCATATTGGAAGGGCTCTCGGAGTCTCCCTCCTGTTTCACCGGATCCGGCACCATCGATTGGTCCACGACGTCCCCGTTCGATTCCGTCTGCTGCCTGTCAACCGGGTCTGAGTTTTCCAGAACGGGGTCAGACGGACTGGTCTTCGGGTCGATGTTTTCCGCTGCGGACTTCAGATGCTCCAGCGAGAACAGCTGTAACTGCTCGTGGGACTCGTGGGTTTCCGGTTCTGGGGGAGGAGCCGGCGCCGTGGTCCAGTCGGGTGCGGTCGGTTCTGAGCCCTCCATCGCAGACGAGTCCCCATTATCAGGGGCATTCGTGTCCAACATCCCGGTCATGGGCTCAGCTGAAACAAACAGATGGGAAAACGATAAATAAAACAGGGTTTTGACCCCCAAACATGATCATGCCATGTGTTTTTGTAAGAAAAATATCCATATTTATTTCAGTTATATTAAAAAATATCCCGTCTCTTCCCTGCTTTATAACGATACCTCAGATTTTGAAGCCCAAAAAAGTGCTTCCATCCATCATAAAAGTAATCCATATGACTACACATGTTAATAAAGGTTTATGAAGCGACAACATGCGTTTTTGTAAGTGTTACTAAACTCACATACAGCCATTACCGGAAGCAAGTCGTTATAGTTTATAAAGTTATAAATATGGATATTTTTCTTACAAACACGCTTCAGAAGGCCTTTATTAACCCCTGGGGTCATAGTTCATTATGATGGATGGATGCACTTTAACGGGCTTGAAAATTTTAAGGCACCATTTACTCCCATTATAAAGTTTGGATTTATTTCATATACGGTAGCCTAAACGAGTAGAATAAAAGAATAAAAAGTCAAATACACCCTGAATGCCTTGAGGGAGAGTAAACCCGAAGACAACAATACTTTCTCAGTACTTTTGCTGGCAAAAAAAAAAAAAAGTGTCAGTTGTGATGCAATATGCGCTATTAACACAAGATAACGCCCAATTTTCACATATTTTAAAGCTTTGAGGTTTCAAGCCTTTATAAACAGCAGGTTTGACTGATATGAATCTATAAACTCTGTGCAAACAGCAAGTTTCCGTCAAATCAACTCAGATGTTACAGAATGTTAATTAAAAACACACACAAACAAACAAAAAACCGTGAACGGAGATGGAAACTTCAAAAACCTTGAGTGTTTATTTATGGTTGTATTGAATGTTTGTCGCGTTTCCTGGTCAAACGACACACGATGGTTCGTCGAAGTTAGTTTGCTAAAAAACGCTTCGTCTATTGATCAAAACAGGCTTTACAAACGCGCTCGATTTGTTTTAAACGGCTAATTAGTTTTCAAACCAGGAAAATATGTTATAAAATTATGAAAACGTTTTCAATAGCATCGGTCTGGTTTCGGCCTGCTCTCTTCACGCGTTAGCTGAACTGCTAACGACCGACGCCGTTGATTTACCTCAGAGTGTTCTGGAGAAGACCGCGCGCTAATCGCGGGAAATACACGGAGAGAAGAATACTTACCAGAATCTTCCATGAAACTGGGTTAAAACGGCCGATATTTGCACAACTTCTTCGAAGTTTTTATGCGGCTGATAACATGTGGTCGAACGGCCGCGCTCTAACGCATTCAACACCAGCTGCGACGAGGAAAGGACACGAATGCTTTGCGCATGCGCACTGCGTGCTACGCAACTCAAAACACAAAATAAAAGGCGCCGCGGCACAATTTGTTAAACTCAATTTGGGATAAACTCAATTTGGGATAAATATGAAAGCCAATTTCCGCCACACAAAAATGCTTAAATATTGATTATATCATAAAAAGTCAAAATTATGGAATACTAGATACGTCATATTTATTTTGTCATACCTGACAAAAAAAATCAAAATTGTGACATAAAGAGTCATATGTCACACAAAGATACAAATCATATCTTTTTATATCATTATGAATTTTAAACCAGAAATTCAGCTTTATCTGCATTCAAATCTAGTCTTAAAACAAATCTCTTTTGTTGCCTTTTACTATTGTAATGTCTTGTTTTGTTCTTCTCTGTTTTCTTTTATCTGTTATCTTATGGTCTTTGTTTTGTATTGTACATCACTTTGGTCTGCCTTGCTGTCATTGAATGAGCTTGAAATAAACCGAACTGAATGGAATTCAACTCAAAATTATGATTTACAGTAGCATTATATGTCGCAGAAATGGGATAAGACTAGACAAAAATTGAAGTTTATTTGAAACAGCACTATGGAAGTTACATTTGCGTAACCTTTTTTACTTCATTTAGCACTTGTCTGGTTAATTTGTGAAATCAGTTCACTGTATATAGAATGCATTCAGTCTAAATGTGTTATAATATATTATAAATACTGGCACAGCTTTACATTTTTGTTAATGTTTTGTTACATGACCTAAAACAAAAGATTTTGTTTCTTTAATTATTAAACAAAATATATTGTATAAACACTGTAAGCTGGTATGTTGAAAGGTCTTATTATGAAACTGATATTTACTTATATAACAATGTTTTGTGTGTTACAGCAATAGTCCTATTTTGGTTTAATTGAATAACTGATACCAGTGTATTTTCAAGACTTTAAATTTCACATATGATCAACATTTCAAACTATTCGTAAATAAATGTTGGGGTTTTCCAGCTCATGGATGTAAATCGCCTCTTAAGTTCAGGGCTAATAAATAAGGAAGTTATTTTTGACATGCAAATTCTTTGAAAATAACACAGACATCAAGCATTCATAGCTAAATTGCTGGTTTGTTTATTTGCTATACGATATTTATTTCCTAAGCCGATTATTCGGGGAGAAAATGCAAATATAGATGTATTTAAAAGGTTTTATTTAAACAAGGCATTTTTTGAAATCGATGCACGTCATAAGCTCCGCCCCTCCGCGAAGGACAGTTATGCAAAAACTCTCCTGTTTATGTGTCGGTCGAATATCAAAAAGGTTTCATTGCAATGCATATCTGAACGCCTATTTTTTTTTATAAAAAAAGGGGTGCCTTTAAAAAACAACCCAATTATTTCCGACTTTCAATGGCCTCCATTTCATTCAGATCGCGTCTATGAATCCTACTATAGCGAAGGTTCACGTTCATCTTTTGAATATTAATTAGATCGTGCGTGCTACCGTCGCTGGATTATTAATTAAAGGGACAGCTCACCCAACCAAGAAAAATTGGTCATCCCTCAAGTTGTTACAAACCTGTATGAGTTTCTTTGCTCTGCCGAACACAAAATAGTTTAAAGAATGTTGATAATAAAACAGTTGACGGACACTATGGAAAAATACTATGAACTCAAATTTCTGGTTAACCAACAGTCTTTAAAATATCTTATTAAAGTAATAAGCCCCTTGAAGCTGTGTTTTACAGTGAATTTAGAACAGCTTTAGCTTTAGCTGTTCTAGATTCGCTGTAAATCACGGCTCTAAGGGGCTTATTGCTTTTATAAAAAGGTTTATACATGATGTTAATTTATAATGATATTCATTTTATAATGTTAAGGGGCTTATTGCTTTTATAAAAGGGTTTATAAATGATGTTCATCCCATAATGATGTTAATTTTAATATTTATTTTATTCCTAAAATAAACAGCAGCAACAAAAAAATAACGTATAACACATTTATTCCTCCAAATGTAGCTCCAAAGTGGTTGCTAGCAACACATGCCGCAACAAAGCATCACAAACAGCATGTTGCGCAGTAACACTAACTCACAGGTGTGTGTGTGTGTGTGTTGAGTGATTTACAATGGCTTCAAAGGCGTCTCAACCAATCAGAATCAAGGACTGGAAATATCTGCTTTATAAAATATTTTAAAGAATGTTGATAACCAAACAGTTGACGGACACAATGGAAAATACTATGGGTGGTTACCAACATTCTTTAAAATATCTTATTTTGTGTTAAGAAGAAATACATGACGTCTAGCAGTTATTCAAAGGATATTTAGTCTTTTCAATATCAAATTAAGTTGTTATGTAAAAAGTTATGAACGGTCTAAAAGAAAAACAAATTGTGGTCTAACTTGTAAGACTATAGTTTTAGCGGTTTATGTAACAAGACATTCTGGTTAAGGTTAAGTTTGACATACAACGCTTTCCACATTTGCAGTGTTGGGGAAAGTTACTTTAAAGTAAAATATTACATTATTGCATTTCCTAATCCACCCACCTTTTGCCTCCCATTACTTTAAGTAGAAATAAATTACACATGATTAGAAATATGTTTGATAACATCTTATTCCCTAGCATCCTATATAAATTAAACATCCCAA